CTGGATGTCTCAAATTTCTCCTTTTATTTTGAAATGAATATGAATTTTCCAAAAATGCTGTCAGCTGTTACCGCTTCAACCCAAATTTTGACTTCCTGATGATAGTACAGTACTGATTACAGAAAATATGTCTTACTTGTTTTATAGCGCGAATGATGTCCTGTAGGGTTTTGAAATGCGGGATATTGTGTGGACTGCCGACGGCGAGCGCTTGTAGAAGACTGTTGCGACGCATTGGAGCACTGAAATGTGCAGTATTGTCATGGTACTATACAGTACTACTCAAGAAAGGCTTGTAACTCACAATGACGGGGCTTCGTTGCGTTTCATTTCCCGGTGACGATGCTCGCGTTCTTTCTTCATCGGCTTCTTGATGATCGATGGTTTTTGGAATGCTGGCTCCACGGTCATCGTCATGTTCATGTCGAGACTGTGATCGATCATCTCCATTGTCTTCTCGGTGACTTCTGAGGCGAAGCTCACCCTGAATATGACAATCTTTTTCAAGAGCAGAAGATCCCTAGTAGTTTTGGCAACCGCAGGACAACTTGGTTGTTATGTGACTAGTTGACACACAGAATCTTATTTTAGTCAAGCTCTAAAGCTTTAATCTTTGGAAGAAGTGCTATTAGAATTTCCAGTATCGAGCTGTCCTGAACCGCAAAACCAATGAGTGAGGCTACTACTAGGATTATCTATTTTCTATGGCAAACCACAACTCAAAGTTACTTGTAAATGTCTGGTTCTGGTGATCTGAAATTTCAGACTCTTGCCTTATTTTTGCTCTTTTCACTGTACTATATTTTCTCCTGTTCAACGCTTAGTAACGCAGGGTGCCTCTCTGTTTGTCTCATGTTTCGTGAACAAAATGTGCACGACATATCGCTTGTTTGCACAGTCTTATCGACAAAATCGTGCACTTGTCATCCCATAAGGCCGATGTCAGACTTTGCGAATCGCGCGATTCGCTAGCGTCTGCGGTCGCGTCGCGGGTCAGTGCAACTCATCAATTGGACTTGGATACAGCAACGGACGACCGGTGGACGCTAGACGAATCGCGCCGAATCCGCGCGATCGACTAGTAGCGCAATTCGGCGAAATTCGCAAAGTCTGACGTCGGCCTAAAGTAGCCACGATCGAGGAGCGATTGAAACTTTTCATCCTTTTTCTAGAGACAGCCTATTGAGCACCACTTGCGTTAATGCAGTTGAATTGAAACAGTGAAACAAGTTGTGAGTGGGCACGTACAGCTTAGCAATGATCTTCCTAATTCAATAGTAAGCAAGGTGAAACTCCAGTCGGGGGGGCACTCTATTGCTATCTTATTCCTGGTACTAGAGAGCACTTTTTTAGGCTATTCAACACTATGGATAAGATAGTAAGTAAGCGACTTTCTAGCGTACCTTTTTTGGATGAGGACCGGTGTGTCTAGGCATCGATGGTAGAACTTCGCCGAATCTGCGCGACGCTACGTAGCGTTCAAGCGATTCCGCTAGCAGTCCGCGCGTCGCGTTGCTTCGGTACAGCCAACTGAAGTGATTCGCTACCGGGCCGCACGCGACCGGCAAGACATGCTAGCGATCGCACCATCGCCAAATGTGCTGACAGCCGCCTGGACATACCACACACCCTGCCACATCCTACTGCACAGGTCATCCCACCTTTTGGAGTTTCTCACCACTGAGGCAGGCAGAAGGAGGTCCATTTCTATCCTGTCTAGGAACGTTTCGACCATGGCAGAGCGGAACCGTGTAAGCATCTCTGGGTTTCTCCCACTTTACACCGATACTCATCAGAAGTGTACAGTTATAGCTATAGTTAAATGAGTCTATTACGTGTTATTGACGCGCTCTCATCCTTGATCAAGTATTGGAGAAACAATGGAGAGCAGCCCCCCCCCCCCGAACTGGAGTATCACCGTAAGCAATTAGCATTTGAAATGGCGCGGCCACCACAACTTGTGAAGTGGCAAATTTGTGATCCAGTTTCTGCAGAAAGAGGGGCAAGTGAGAGGCGCAGCTGATGCAAGCTCAGCGAATAACCTAGCCTCGAATTCGGATACATACAGCTTCGTGCCCTCCAGAGCTGGAGACGGAAATCTAAGAGGAATTTAAACCTGAAAATTATGGCCGAGTGAACTTGAGCCTCGTGGACGCTTTAATTCACCTCTCACTTACTCGCCTGTCTGCATTTCAAAGCACATTCCACGATTCCATACGTAAGATTCCGAGTTCAAAATGGATGTAAAAAATATCGCCTCTCTTATGAAGGTAGTATGACGGGATCGTTTACAGAGAAACGGCGACGCTGAAGTGCCGACGACACATAGAACAAGAGGAACAGTGAGACGCAGACACCGGAACGATGGGCAGCGAGGGCCCCGCGTAGCAACCGGTGTCCTAGGTTACCCCTGGCGCTCTCGCTACCCCCTTTTCGAGCCATGAGTGGGAAGTACCCCTTAGTAAATCGTGGAACGTGCCTTTTAATGAACTTAAAGATGAAACCCGTTCAATGCACTAGATGCTTGTCCTCTGGTATTCTAAATCCTGGCAATGACCTTGGTCGCGATAAAATTTTGTTCGTGGACGCAAACCATAGCCAAAAACATTATTTCTTACCATCCGAGCCACAACTCGCATCAGAACTTACCCACGTGGTATCAGCTGAGTTTTAAGGTTGGTGCATGTCGTGAAATGATCGTAGTGTTGGCTGATGGAACAAAATCGTAATTATAATGTAACAGCCACGATTGAGATACCAGGTAAGGACAAACACAGGGCACATTGAAGGGTTTGAATTTGAGTACCCCAAATGCACGAAATGCCTGCACTCCTAAAAAACATTCCCACCGACCACCTACCCTGTACGGGCACTTCGTGCACTTGGGAGTACATTCGAAAATTATTGATAAAATTGAAAGATGTTCTCAAATAACCACCTCTTTTCTTCCTTCTTGCGTTCCTCGGATTCACTGCGTTCATGCGACACTTCCATACCATCCACACGTAGATGATGTTGTCGCTCCAAGCTCTGCTCGACTCGTACCACGGATTCGGATGCGGATTCTGTATGAAGTAATAGGGGTGATGCTTCACGAACACCACGCATTACAACTCCTTCCACTTCCACCTCGACCATACGCCTACTAACGGACAGCTCCTCGGTCTCGACACGCTCATCACCAGACGCCTGTGTTTCGACGCGAACTTCGCCTTCATCGCGTGACTCTGATCCGACAAATGTGGCCGCGAATTCTGTTGGTTGTTTTTGGTAACTGTAGTTAAGATGGAATATTGTTTCCTCGCTACATTTCGAGGCCAGCGCGGTTGGTTCGACGGTGCGCGCTTCGCTTCTGGTTTCGTGCACTTCCTCAACAGCAACTCGAGCGCAGAGCACATCTTTGTTAGCTGTGATCGATTCTTCTGATGAGGCTTTCGTGGCCAAAGACGAAGATTCTTCACGAGCAATCTTGAGCGATATGGCCTTCTCCTCGGATTTGTCCTCATTTCTGAGGCCAACGCTGACCGTGTCAGGCGAAATTTCGCTGGCTGCCTGGCAGGAGAGGTATGTTCCACCGCCGTATCTCGCCTCCTTCAACGTCGACTCCTCCAAAACACTGCTAGCCTCCTTGTGAAGGACATAGTTCGTTGAGATGATATTCTGTTCAGCTTCTCTGGAACCAAAGATCACCGGTGCTGCATCGTTGGACGCGATCTTCGTGATTGCGGTGGATTCATCTGATGAGCGGCCACTGCTCAAGGCAAAACCGGAGCCGACCACCTCTTCGGAGGCGGCGCTTAGCCACTTGTCCATGGATTCCTCTCGCTTGATATTCGCGAACGATTTCGGTAGCAGAGGCATCATCTGGCTTCGAGAGACACGGTGTGATGGCAGTATGATTCTCTTCTGCATAGCTGGTCTGCAAGTCCACCACACCACCATAGGCGGCAAGTTTGACGACGCTTCAACATCCAGGTGACTATCGTCCCGGCGAAGAAGGACATTGT